ATCCAGGATCTGTTGGATGGCAAGGTGAGAATGGAAGATTTTCCTCTCATTAACGTCTGTTTGATAGAGGATGTCTTCTATTCTTCAGATAATCGAAGGCTTTATTGCTTCAAGGAGACGATAAAGCGAGGGTTGGATGTTGACAGGATACCTGTTCGAATAAGATGGGTGTCTGACATCAACATCGGGTGGAAGATGGAGGAAGCGTATCGGGTGGTGTGGAACACCAATTTTAAGGAGGTGGTGGTTAGCCCTTCGTCGAGAAATGGAAGAGTGATTGATGGTGAGGGTTATTGAGAGTACTGTGTTTAGTTGTAATTTTTGTAAATATTACCTGTAAAAACCTGTATTTTATACCTAATTCTGTTAAATAAAACGTGATCTGTATATAAATTTCTAACACATTCCACAATGATATTTCTATGATTAGTAATTTGATGTGATCAGCAGTATAAAAATATTTAAATGGATCTAAATTTGGTAAGTGGTGAAAAATAAGTAATAAAATCAAGATGAATTCAACAGAGATTTCTCGCCGTTTTGACATTTTTTTAAAAAGGTAAATATTTATTTTTGTTGGTTTTTGATTAATATTTATGCTGATATATTTTAAGTATGTCTACTATCACGAGTGTTGTGAGCTTTCTTGACCAAGAAAAATTTAGAAATACGCAGGGATTTCAAGATGTTTCGTTTTTGATCAAGGTCGAAAAAAGTGAGGATGAAGAGAAGACTGCGGAATTATATTTTCTTGATGGTGATCCGATTACAGAAATTCAAGTTCCTGATGATATTGAATGTGAAGAAATTAATGAATTGGATCAGAAAAAGATTAAAAAACCTTTCCGTAATTCAAATATTTTTTTAATTAATCACCCAAAAAAATATAATATTTTGTTTAAAAAAAAGAGAATTTACGCTTTGATTCCTGAGCAAAAGCGTTATACTATTCATAATTTTAACAAACCTGATAACCTCAAACAATACGAATTAGAAAAGC